GGGGGGGGGCAGGGGTTGGGCGGACCCTGCTGTTGTGGGAGCCCACTGGGCTTCTCCGGGGTCCTACTGCCCTTGGTTCCTGTCATTTTTGACAGGAACCAAGGGCAGATAAATACTAATTTTCTAAATTTTTTAGTGGCCCCACAGGCTGGGTAGAATAGCCTCATGGGCTGGATCCAGCCCGCGGGCTGTATTTTGCCCACCCCTGTCATAGGGGCCAGGTGCCCTGGTGCTCTGAGCTAGTACTTCCTACTTAAGAAGAGCATGCACCAGTCTAAGCTGTCTGGGAGAAGGGCAACATTGTTCCCAAGGTTGGGAGGCCAGTGGCCTGGGCATCTGACAGCATTGTTCATGGTCACCTATGGGTGCTGGGAAAAGACAAACATGTTTGGCGCTGACAGACTGAGCACTGTCCAGGTTTTCCCTTACAGGAAAGAGCTCAAAGATCCAGACCAGCTCTACAACACCCTGAAGAATCTCCTGGCCCAAATCAAGGTACTGGGGCTGTGGGCTGGGGGGATGCATCCTCAGGGGTACCCTCCTGGCACAGAGGTACCAGAGGCCTAGTTAATAGCAGCATTAGTGAGACCACTAGACCCTTCTCCCGCAGGGCACAAGCCAGGCCAGAGTCCAGGACAGCTTCTTGGCAGTGTGTTCTGACTTTTCTGGCCATCTGTCACCTGCTTCAGCAGCCACAAGGACCCCTGGGTTCATTGGGTTGCAGTTCTGACCCATGTTCCTGACTGCAACTCTTTGGTTCAGAATCTGAGTTCCCCAGACCAGTGGGTGCTGGAAGCCAGCAACCTGTAGGGCTTGATACTGGTTGCAGGGGCTGGGGAAGGGGGCCTGCCTGCCATTTTTTCCTGTTGAATGAATGAGGTTCTTAGTTTTCCTCCTTCCATAGACCCACCCTAGTGCTTGGCCCTTCATGGAGCCCGTCAAGAAGTCTGAGGCACCTGATTACTATGAAATCATCCGCTTCCCTATCGGTAGGTGGGCACCTGCCCTGTGGGGCCAGAGCTGAAGGAGGGGCTGGCAATCAGGACCCCTGGGTTCTCTGAAGTTTTGGGAGGGGAGATGGAGAGGAGGCCCAGACTTTGTCCTCTGTTTGGAAGGAAGAGAAGATACCAGTGGTTAGAGCAGGGAGGGGTGTTGAGCATCAGGACTCCTGGTTTGTCGTCTTGCATTTGGAGGAGGTGTTTGGGGCTCTGCAAGTTGGAAATCAAAGGTCCTGCGCTCTATTAGCCTAACCTCTGCCACTGACACATAGCAACATCAGATAAATTCCTTCCCCTGCCTGTGTAGATTTGATAAGACTGAACTGGCAGGGCATTTAGGGGGGACCAAAAGGGACTCTTGTGTGGGATCAGAAGGGTTGAGGGGAGGGATTAAAGCCATGCAAGAGCTGACTGCTGTCCCCCTTGCAGATCTGAAGACCATGACTGAGCGCCTGAAGAACCGCTACTATGTGACCAAGAAGCTCTTCATCGCAGACCTGCAGCGTATCATCACCAACTGCCGGGAGTACAACCCACCTGACAGTGACTACTGCAAGTGCGCCAATACCCTGGAGAAGTTCTTCTACTTCAAACTCAAGGAGGGGGGCCTCATAGACAAGTAGCACAGGGGAGAGCCCTGTGGTACTGGGGGGTGGTGCTCCAGCTCCTCCTTAGAGCAGGTGCCTCCTGGTCTTATGCTCCCCCTGCAGCCAAAACACTGGTGTGCAGGGCAGGGGTGGCATGTCTTCTTGTTTACATCCTCCAGGTGGGGTCTGCACTCTTCCCAGCTCAGCAAGGCCTGGTTGCTGCCATGTACAGGGTGCAGGCTGCTGCTGACAACCTGGGTGCTGAGCTGCACCCTTGCAGCAGGTGGGGGTGCTCTTTCATGGGCATTTGTCATTTCACAAACAGAGGCTGGACTCTGTGATGGGGCTGTGGTGATGGGGCTGTGGTGGCTGAATGGCAGGAGCCGTTCAAGGCCTTTACAGCATTATGGGCTGGACTTTGCATCACCATGCAGCCTTACTCTGGAGGAAGCAGCATGGGCAGCTTGCTGTAGAGGCCTTTTTCCAGAAGGGAATGGACCTATACTGATATTCTGGCCTGCTGTGAGGTCCTGTCAGGGCTGCCCACTCTCTTCTGCTGGGGCTGCGCCTTATCTGGCCATAGGGGCTCCCATTGCTATGTGATTAGCCCAGAGCAGCAAGGGGATGGTGGGGAATATACAAGGGCGCATGGCCAAAGCAGCCCAGAACTACTGGCATGTGCCTGTGTTTTGTCTTGCTCTACAAAGCAGAGTCTGGATCTGCTTCCTGCCCTAGCAGAGCTGCCTTCCCTCTCCCCGCCCTCTTTGAGCCTGGGCTCTGCCTCCTCAGCCTGGCATTATGCTGCTGGCTCATGCTCTGTCTTGCTGCACATGCACACTGCGCCTCCATCCCTGCCCTTTACCATGTGAATGTATGACCAGGGCCTTCCTGCCTCCTAGGCTGTCTAGAAGGGGACAGATTGGGGAGGTTATGGAGCAGGAGCCCACTCACGTCTGGTCTGGGAAGGTGTCAGGGTCTCGCCTGGGGCCTTCAATTCTTGTTCTTAATTGAAGATGCATCAGAGCTCCTACCCCTGTCCCATTGCCGCTCTCAGCCCTTGTCTTCCTGGGGTACAGAGACAGCTACTCCATTTCCTCTGAGTCGTGCTCCATCTGTGTCCTGGCACCCCCTTCTATTGTGCGGGCTGTGGCTATGTGCCCCACTAGACACTCCACTGCCCTGCTACTTGACACACAGGTCACTGTCCTGCTTGAGTCCTTCCACTGGACTTCAGTTTAGGTCCCTGCCATGCTCTGAGTTCTGCATAAGCTGTCTTCTTCCTGCTCTCCACTCCACCCACTCCACTGCCTTTCATGACTATCCTTAGCAACCTCCATGGCTGCTCTGGTGCTAGGATCCTAGGGCAGAGCCCCGTGCCTATCACACAGAGGTGGGGGCTGTGATGTTGTGCCACATGGTCTTTGCCTCGGGAGGAAGCATTGGCCCAGCTCGTTCCTGGGCAGTGAGTGTAAGTGCAGGGGAGTGGAATCCTTTGTCTGTCGTCAGGATGGAGCTCAGATGTTCTTGGCCAAGGAGGTAACTGCAGAGGTGACCAGGGCTTCACCAGTTCTTGCACTAAGCAATTTGGGCCAAGCATGGGACTCCAGCCCCCACCCCCACACACTTCTTCCTGCTAGCCATCTTGCCAGCAACCTTGCCCTGCCTCAGACAGTGGACAGTGGACCAGGTGCATAATCTCCCCATTTCTTCTTGCATGTGGCTGCAGCTTCTGAGAGCTAGAGGTTGCCACTTCCATGCCCAGCATCTTCCTGAGCCCGCAGGCAGCCCCAGGGGAGTTCAGGGCCTTCACAGGAGCCTGTTCCTCACTGCTCTGTCCCTGTCTGCCCAGCTGCTGGACTGTGAGCAGATTTCTCCCCTGCTCTGGAAGTGAAATGAAGATAAGCTGTGTTTGTACTGCCTCCCCCGCACCATTGACTGCCTCTTGTCTTTTCTGCTATGCCTGCCTGTCCCTTATGCTGTCCTTGCCATGTGAGAGCAGGTGCTCCTCATGCCTGGCTTCTGCCTTGCTGGGCTGTACCCACACCCAGCCCTGCCCACCGACCCATTCCACCTCACACTTGTGGGTTTTTTTAAATAAATGTACTTGTCCAAAACGGAGTGCGCCTCTTCTTACTGGCTTCCCTGTGGAAAAAGCTTTGTAATTCAGCCACAGCTGGGTAGAGCTCCTGTGGCTGAGTGTAGCAACAAAGTCACTGGATCTTTACCTGTAACCTATGCTGAGCCTTTCATAGTTTCATAGTACGGAGGGTGGGAAGGAACCTGAGCAGATCATCGAGTCTGACCCCCTGCCATGGCAGGAAAGAGCACTAGGGTCAAACGACCCCAGCAAGGTGTTTGTCTAGCTTTGTCTTAAAGACCCCCAGGGTAGGAGCCAGCACCACTTCACTTGGAAGTTGGTTCCAGATCCTAGCCGCCCTGACAGTGAAGTAGCACCTCCTGATGTTTAATCTGAA